AAGGCTCACCTCACCCTAGGGCCTGGCATCCTGGTTTCCTACAAGTAACTCCAGTTCCAGGGGATCTGACAGCCTCTTCTGTCTTCCGCTACACGGGTGCACTTACCTACATGCAGGCAATACATGCATACACATAAAATAAAAATAATAAATAAAATATTTCTTTAAAGTTAAAAAATTCAGTCATTTCTATCACCATTTCATAATATCCAAAGGATCACTATGTGCAAGGTAAGGGATTTGCAATTTCATGTTTAATGGTGGCAGAAATCTAGGCCTCAAACTGAACTCTGTGTAATAATTATACAAAGATTACCCAACCTACTTTAGTTTTCTTAGTGGACAAGTTCCGGAAATTTTGCACTGAGAAAAGCAGGAAAATTTCCAAGGTAGGAAGCATCAGGAAGGTCTCTTATTTTCCTATGAATATTCCTTAACATTTTACAGTTAATAAAACTATTCTGTAAAAGCAACACTTTGAGGACATGCACAAGACCTACACACACCCAAGCCAGACAAAAACCCGTCACAAAAACCCGTCACAGAGAGGGGAAATGGGCAAAAAGCCACAGCTTTTGCTGCGGGCTTTAGATAGCTCCTGGGAGAGGGAGAGTTAGTTTTCTTTAAGGGCATGATGTCAAGTAGGTTGACCAGGCTCCAGAGGATGGATGCACACTCAAGAACATTTGGGGGAGACAAATTAGACTCAATAGGTCTTAAAAATATGGTGGACATTAAATGAAGGGCATGGGAGGTGACTCTGATGGGATGAAGGAGGGGTCTGAATATGATCAAAATACATTGAATGAAATTCTCAGTCAATAAGAACATTATGAAAATTTTTCTTGACTTTGGCTGTGATGTGACTAGATGCTTCAGGTTCATGCCTCGATTTCCCCACAGTGATGGGCTATCATCTGAAATCACTGCCAAGATCTCCACTGAGGGGAATGGGACTCTAACTGGAGCACTGGGCAGGAGCTTTGCCATTGGCTGGTTGAGGACATGGAAATGGAATGTCTGCATTGTTACATCAGACTTCAGTCTTCAGAAGACAGTTAAGAAATATCACTCTGCAAATGAGCACACCTCTCTTTGTACTGTCCGGTCATCACAAACGAGGAAACATGCTATAGGTTTTATGGATGGCGGTTTCTTTGGTCCTTAGATATCCTGGCAGCTGACGCAGGGGTTGTGAAAAGTGAAACCAAACTCTCGGAAGACTAAGTCCTAGGTTTTTTAAATCTTACTTGGGGAAGGAAGGCCATGTTGAGGGGAATCAGAGTGTCCCTGATGTGGCACATACCGTGGACTTGTCGGCAAAGCTGTAAAAGGAAGACATGCGGAGTCTGATCCTGATGTAGGTCAGCCTATCAGTGAAACTATCAAAATCATCACAGGCTCCTGATCTGCAGGCCTATTCTGTGTGACAAAAGGACTGAGCCCTGATTACTGATGCTTTGTGGAGCTAGGTGTTTCAGATATGACAATCCAGACAATGGAAAAGCATCACTCTGCTGAGCTCTAGCTGATGTTATGAGCCTTTGTGCTCAAAAGCTACCACCCATGGTACTGTAAAAAATCATCTCATTAAGCTGGCATTGAACCACCAGGTGGACCCCACCACTCTGACACTGCAAAACTCACTCCTGAATGCCATGAAAGGCCTCCTTAGAAACCAAACAGGCCATGTGGCAGCTGGTCACAGAGCCCACAGATCTGCTAAAAACATCCTGGTGGTAAAATACAAGGCAAGCCAAAAACAACAGCTTGGGGTATTTGCATGTACGCTTTATGCAAAAAGTCAGCTCCCAAACCTGGTCAGGGTGCTCCTGCTTGTGTTTCTGCCTGGCTCCGAAGTCACAGAAAGTCCGAACCCCCCAGGGCTGAAGCAGCCCCAAGATACATCCACTTCTTTGTTTCCCTCTCTGACCCTGCCAGTGATGAGACATTGGCTCAGTAGTTCTCAGACTCCCTAAATTTTGGTTCCAGCACATTTTAAAAGATTCATTATTATTTTAATTATGTAATGTGTATGGAGGGGGTGTGTGCGTGCAGGTGCCTGTGGAGGCCAGAGGTGTTGGATTGCTTGGAACTGGAGTTACAGACATTTGTGAGCCAACAGATGTGGGTGCTGGAAACTGAATCAGGGTTCTCCCCAAGAGCACCAAGTGCTCTTAACCCCCGAGCCATCTCTCCAGCCCCTTCTTTTTATTTTTTACGTGTACAGGTGTTTTCCTGCAGGTGTATATGTGTATGACGTTCATGCAGGGTCCCAATAGAAGCCAGAAGAGGGCATTGGATTCCCTAGAACTGGAGTTTCAGACAGTTGTGAGTTGTTGTGTGGGGATTGGGAAATTAATCTAGGTCCTCTGCAAGACCAGCAAATGCTCTTAATGGCTGAGCCTTCTCTCCACCCCTGAAAAGACAAAGTTTTTAGCAAACAGAAATATACATAAAGAATCTTGTTACAGTGTAGCTATTTTTAAAACCAGGACTTAAAACCCTGTAAGTATAAAACTTCACAAATCATTTAACCAGGAATATATTTTAGGCCACATATACAATGGAGTCTAATTTTTTGAAGGATTTCTGCTGGTGGTAAATGGTGGCCATAAGGAGTACGTAAATTCTTAAGATGACTGAATATCTGGATATTGTGGAAGAAATAGTAAATGAAAAATCAGTGTAAGATCAAGGAATTTGACGCAATCACTAGAAAGTTGTCAGGTGAGCAATTTGGCTCTCCATGGAGACACGGGTCCAGAAGTCTTCCCTTAGCCTCTGCCTTAGGGCAGCCTAAAATCCTTCCTTATCTTCTACATCGTGACCCAAATTAACATCTATTTTTAATCTTGTCAGTTGACTGAACATCTGAACATACAGAGAGTTACAAAAGTGACTCTAATGCTTTTAACTGAATGTATTTAAACAGCAATAAGAAAATGCTTATGGGGATGGAGAGATGGCTCAGTGGTTAAGAACACTGGGTGTTCTTGCAGAAGACCTGGGTTCGAACCCTAGCACCCACATGGCAGCTAACAACTGTCCGTAACTCCAGTTCCAGGGGATCCGACAAGCCTCTTCTGTCTTCTGCCAGCATCGCAAGACACGGGTACACTTACCTACACGCAGGCAATACACGCACACATAAAATAAAAATAATAATTTTTTTTCGGAGCTGAGAACTTAACCCAGGGCCTTGCACTTGCTAAGCAAGCGCTCTATCACTGAGCTAAATCCCCAACCCCAAAATACTTTTTAAAAAGAAAATGCTTATGTTCCAAAGTGTGTGTGTGTGTGTGTGTGTGTGTGTATGACATTTATGGAATGTGTGCATTTGGATTTATTCTCTCTGCAAGTATCTGAAATAATTTTTAGCCTCTGCATGCACACTGACCTTGTGTCTGACAGAAGGGACCGGAATTTTAGTAAACTTTTTTTTAATGAATCCCTTCTTTTAGGAATCAAGTGGAAACGAAGCCACCACATCGCAGCAGCTCGCGTGTTCGTCCTATCCTAAGTTCCCTGAGATCGAAGGAGGGATGCGTGGGTTGGGGTGAATGCTGATCCTCTACGTGGAGCTGTGTAAACATTGAGCTGCGTAAACATGTAATGCGCAAGACCGGGGTTGTGGTGGTGGTGGTGATGATGGTGCAATGAGCCAATGAAAATGCAGGACAGGGACATTTCCTGTGTGTGGTACGGGTCGGGGCGGAACTTCTGGCGCAGGCCTCTTGGCGGAGATTTTGGCATTGCTGGGGTCTATTTACCCAGCCTGAAGCTGGGGCCGGAGGTGAGCGCACCGCTATGGCTGAGCTCAGCTGGCTTCCTCGCAGCACAGAGGCGGGGCTGCGGTGCAGCGACTCTGCCCACGTGACCGTCGCCAGCGCCAGTGAAGTAGGCACCGCGGTGCCCGGGTCTTTGCTCCCTTTGCAGTGTGCAAAGGCTGTGGCCGTGCAGAGGGACCCGGCCCTGGTAAGTGCTGCGTCCTGCAGGCCTCGCCCTGGTGCTAGAGCCGGGAGAGAGCCCTGCTTAAGGCCCTGCAGCTCCTAGCTGGTGTCCCCGGCAGGGGATGCTCGTCGGTGGTGGGGTCCCCCTTTATGACATCTGTATGCTGGTGAGGGATGGCACCTGCGAAGGCTCGGAAAGAGCCGCTGAACCGAAGGATTCTGAGTCCTGATGTCCAAGTGTCTGCAGCGACATATGTGAGGCCGAGTTGCAGCCCAGGGATTTGATTTTTCTTCTTAGGACACTGGGAGCCAGTGAGGGTGTGAACAGAGAACACAGCTGGAGATAAGAGTTCTAAATTTTCCCAGAGTTGCTCAGAGTAAGAACAGGCCAACCAGAAGAGAGAGGATAGGCATGAGAAAGTTGAGTTCCCAGTTCACAGAGAATCATACCGTGAACTGAGGCACAGAGAATGAGTGGTCATCCCAAGCCACCTAGCCCTAGGGCTGGGCCAGATCAGCGAGTGACCAGATCCTGTAGAACCTTCTGTCCTGTGGAACCTGCTATCCGATTCTGACTGCTCCCCGTTTTTTTCAGGTTCCCTTGATTTCAGGACCACTTATGGAGCCTGACCCAGTCAGTGGGACAGGCCAGTGTCCTCTGCACGCATAGGTCTCTACTTAGTGGTGTCCTTGGTCTGTTCTTTCGCACCCCTTAGTGGCCCTGGGCCTGGCAATCTTGTGTAGGCTGATGGTTATATGAAATTGATGGCCACCATGGACTGAGGCGTCCATGAGCCATAGTTACCCAGTGCATGCATACCACACATTTGCCTTTTACTTTATTATTTTTTTAAACATTTTATTATCTTTATTTTATGTGTACCGAGTGTATTGCCTGCATGTACCTAAGTGCACCTGCATCATGCAGTGCCCACAGAGGTCAGAAGAGGGCTTCGGATACCCTAGAACTGAAGTTACAGACAGTCACCATGTTGGTGCTGGGAACCAATCCTGGATCCTCTGCAAGAGCAGCCAGTGTTTTTAACCTGCTAAGCCCCTATTATTACTATTTGGGGGATAGAGTCTTGGTATAGGTCTCAGTGACCTGGTGCTCTCTGTGAAGCATAGGCTAGTCTAAAATAACAACTTGCCTCCTACCTTCAGCATCCTGAGTGATAGGATTACAGGTGTGTTAACAGCTTGTCGAGTTCAAGTTTGATTTTTGGCTGCTGGAAGGATGAAATCTCCATCAACCTAGGTGGTGAGGTTCGTACCTAATTTTCCATGGTAGCAGGTACTATATAGAGTCTTAATTTTAGCCTGTTAAAAATGTGAGAACTTGGGCTAGAGAGAGGGCTCAGCAGTTAAGAGCACTGGCTGCTCTTGCAGAAGACTAGGATTCTGTTCCCAGCACCTACATGGCAGCTAACTCCAGTTCCAAGGAATTCCAACACCTTCTAGCCTCTGTGGGCTCTGGGCACATAGGTGGTAAATATACAAACAGGCAAACACTCACGAAAAATAAAAATAAGTATTTTGAAATGTTTAAAGAAAGAATGAGAACCTTCACAGAACAGCTCAGTGGCAACTGGAACTATCTAGAAATATGAAGGGTTCAAGATGGAGACTTTTCTGAAGATAGTGGACAGTGTGTCTACTAGAGCACAGCTTGTGTTGTGCTCGGTAAAAGCAGAGCCTGACAA